GATGCATCCACCTCTATAAGAACACATCCGGGGATTTGAACTGTACTTGGCTAGATGTGAACAGTACTTGGGTAATGACTGATGACGTTTCACAAGTCCACAAGAACACAAGTACAGACAAGAACGCATATTGAGAAACGCCTTGAATTACAGTGTTGTCACTGTTGTGCCGAACATGCATCGTCTGCCGAAAACTGATTGCCGTCTGTAATTACTTTTTGGCAAGTGTAAAACTGCATTTTATGGGTTTTATTGGCCATTTAAAGGTATTTCAACAGGTAATATCTCTGGATATGCATTTAAATCCCATCAATTAGACTGTTACGTAATCAGATTACTTTTTTCAAGTAACTAGTAAAGTAACGCATTACTTTTTAATTTACAAAAGAATATCGGAGTTACTTTTTTTTCCAATGTATTGATTGACAGCTCTCCTGTCCCCATGTTGAGAGAAATCAGATGTTACTGTAGTTCTAAAATAAATATGAATATGCATTCATTCATCTCACTCACAAAAAAAACACAGATTCAGTATTCCTCGAAATGAATAAAAATAATGCAACTCAGAATAAATGTTAAACACAAATATCCTTTATGTATTTAATCCCATTCTATTAACCAATGCCTTTGCTTCTGACCTTCGATGATCCAGTTCAACCGTACTAATAAGCACAAATTACTCTAGACAAACATTTGTGTCTTTTTTTATTGCTGAAGTGTGTTGAAATGTCTTCTTCTGCATTCTAGTGTACGGACGTAAATTTACTTTCCCTTCAGCCTGAGGCTTATTCATTTCACTTTTGGTGTGAAAAGGCTTTTATATTTGCCAAAATATAACTTTTTTATTTTAAAAACAAACAAACAAGCCCTGTCCAGATTTAAAAAGTAACGCAAAAGTAACGTAACGCATTACTTTCCATAAAAAGTAACTAAGTAACGTAATTAGTTACTTTTTTAGGGAGTAACGCAATATTGTAATGCATTACTTTTAAAAGTAACTTTCCCCAACACTGAAAATGACTGCATGAGCTATAATCGCTCAAATATAACCCTCGAATGCAATCAAGTCATTTAGCTCATGCAGTCCTTTTTACCTGTTGAAATATAAAGTGCAGTTTTACACAGGACGCGCAGATGTATGTACAATTTAAGTAAGATATTCATTTCACAGTGTAGACAGCTAGTGATTATAACGATAGTTTTTTTTTTTGAGAGTGCTTAAACTCGCGATAGATCAACGTGAGTTATAATGTCACTTTCTGTATAATAATGTATTCGCTGTCTGAATAACCTTGGAAAGGAAACGTTTTATAATGACCAATTTCTAATGTTTTTTATTAAATTGTAATCACGTTAAATACAAATTCAGTCCCATTAAACATATTTGACTAGCCTACATGACACCCATGTCTGGTTCTTGCCTAAAAAGACGGGTTTATGATGTTTGTAGTTAATAGATTTGGCTGCTTTTAGCCGTACCCTACAGTTGGTCCACCCTCCGCCTATGTAGGTGAGCCAAAGGAAGATCTGAACTCTCAATTAAATGCATAACTAAACCTTTTTTTTTTTTTTTAACTAAACCTGTATGTAACTTCCGTTGACAAAATGTACCTTCGGCCTACAATAAACTAGTTATATACTGCCACCCAATGTTCTGATACATATAGTACAACCTTACAAACACCATCTGATATGACACATGAACCATTATAAAAAATGACTACACAAACAAATTAAATAGAACCTTTGTGGTCGTAAGAAGGCCTACAAATGTAAGCTGAGAATACTAAAACATATGGTCTACACTGTAATTGTAGAACTGTTGCTTGAGAAAATATATCAAATAACTGGTTCTTCCTTATGCAGCTTATTTTTATTTACTAAAGCTATTACCACAATTGCTTTGAAACCTATTAAACGTGCAAAGTCTCTATAATTTACTGAGAATTCTGTCAATTTTGATGAAGGGAAACAGCACTTACATTTGAATTAGAAAGTATGAAACTGCTAGAAAACTACAGTATACAGAAAAACTAAAAGGCTTGAATTTAAAAGCGTTGAGGCATTTAGAACATCCGTTTTCATCATTTTGCACTGATTCAACTTTAGTTATAGGCTCCAAAGCCAAAATATGTTTTCACGAGGCTTTCTAACAAATTGTTTCTCTTTTCAGCTTAATCCACAAAGTATAAACTTTGAGTCAACATGAGTTTTTGAAACCTCTCAGGATATTCAGGCTTATTATCAAAACCATTTTTGAGTCCGCTACTGTAGGTTCTTATTCTTATCTATTAGGAAAAAAATATAAACATACACAGCTTCAAACAGGAAAAATGATGAAGCAAATCTTTTAGCCCAACAGTCAAATAAGACAAACACACAGTTCTTATGTTCAGCTGTTGATTTAATAAATGTCTGAATCTGTTTTTAGCAACAAACAAGTTGCAACAAGGGAATAATATTGAAGCTTGTTTCCACCTCAGGATAAAATGAATTAAATAAAAAAATAATTGAGTTTTTATCTCACAATACTGACCTATTTTTCTTGGAATTCTGACTTTTGTCCTCATATTTTCTCAGATTTCCCAGCATTGCAAGCTTAACTCATAATTCTGAGAAACAAGTGTCAATTGTTAGATGTAAAGTTAAAGTTACCTTTTTTATTTTCTATTCCGTGGCAGAAACAAAAAACAATTCTGCGTTTATATCTTGCAAATTCGACTCTTTTATAGAATTTCTCAGTATTTTTAGAGATATCGTAGAATATTCTGAGATAAATTTTATTTAAATTCAGACTGAAGTCAGAATTGTTAGATTAAAAAGTCACAATTAACTTTTCTTTTTCTTTTGTGGCAGAAACAGGCTTCCACAGAATAGTGCTCACATTACTGCTCACTATTTAAAAGTCTCTTACTTGGTTGCTGAAGGTTCATTGGTTGAAGTTAAAAGAGCAGTTCAACTCCAGTGAAACTAAACCAATTCAAATTTATATCTGAAAAAAAAAACCTGTCCATCCATTAAGCAGAATCACTTGTTAAAGACAGAATTGCCATAGTCCTTGATTAAAAAACTTTTAAATGCATGCATCATCTGAATCAAATGTAGGTTGATGTACAGTGGGGAAAATAATTATTTGATCCCCTGCTGATTTTGTAAGTTTGACCACTTACAAAAAAATTAAGGGTCTATCCTTTTTATGGTAGGTTTATTTTAACGGATAGAGACAGAATATTTTAAAAAATCCAGAAAAAACACATTATATAAAGGTTATAAATTGATTTGCATTTCAGTGAGTGAAATAAGTATTTGATCCCCTACCAACCAGCAAGAATTCTGGCTCCCACAGATTGGTTACGTGCCCAAGTGGAATACAGATTAGTCCTGTCACTTTAAGAAATTACTCCTAATGTAATCTTGTTACGACTATAAAAGAAACCAGTCCATAGAATGTGTATCTTCCATTCAAACCTCTCCCACCACCATGGGCAAGACCAAAGAGCTGTCAAAGGACGTCAGAGACAAGATTGTAGACCTGCACAAGGCTGGAATGGGCTACAAGACCAGCAGCAAGAAGCTTTTTGAGAAGGAGACAACTGTTGGTGTGAATATTCGCAAATGGAAGAAATACAAAATAACCATCAATCCATGTTGCTTTATTTTGTCAAGCTATCCTGTGAAGAAAGCCTAGAAATCAGTCAATAGAAACAGAGCCCTTACATTACTATTATTACAATTAGTATTCAATTTACTGCACATTGGCTGCCATTTTAAATGCTTTAAGATGATAATACATACATTCTCACTCCTCTGTTGAACTATATCTGTAATCTTATCATGTAATAAGGATTTGTCATGAACATACTGTAGCTTTACCACAGCACTAAATGATATCCTAGACAAAAACTTTACATGCAAGCTGCTGCTACAACACAGCAAAATGACATTTTTGCCAACTCTGCACCAACCATTTAGAAGCACAGCTTCCTTGTAAAAATTCAGGAATTACGCTATAGTTCACATTTATATCTATGCTTATTACTTGCCTAAAAACTATTTCAGATGAACTTAAATTGATTTTTCCATGCTGACTGCTTGAAGTGCATGACATTTGCAAAAAAAATGCAGCATAAGTATAACGAAATAAAATGTGTCAGTATAACATGACAATGCTTCCTTATTATTTTAAACATTGAACTGATGAAAGATTAACAAACAAACTGAACTTAATCTTAAATTTACTCAAATTTATTAGATTATAATACTGTCTGCTGCAAAATAAACAAACACAATGTCTAGTGGTTTTTGTCTATTTCATGAAGAATAATAGAGCAAATAAATTACATTAATATGTAAACCAAGCTGTGTAAATCATCATTAATGTTGTATTATGATAATTTGTTGAAATTATTTCTGATTTATAGTCTTTGGGATGAGTACCATGGAAAGATAGGCTAGACAAAATTATCTCGTGTGGAAAAAAATGGCATAAGACTAGTTAAAAGACCTGAATGTGCTTTGTATACAAATTATAGTACTAATATAAACAAAAAAAAATAAGGCATTGTGGAGTAGCCCATTACTAACTAACTAACATTTGCCCAAAATAAAACCAAAAGATCATGTTCAAAAGAACTGAAATAGTTACTGACTAAATCTCCCTCATAACCTAAAATGTCTGTTATTGAAACATGACCATGAATCACCTGAAGGTAATACCATTTCTACCCACTTCAGTCATTTACATGGAACATATGTGCATTTATAGCTTTATAACAATTAAACAGACACAAAAACCCTTCATACAGAAAAGTAAACAAAGACTACCGTTTTAAATTAGCTTAGACAACAAGTATTCTTATTTTGCAGCAAATAAATAAAATAAAATAAACTTAAAATTAACTTTTAAACCAACAAAATGCTTACCTCATGTCTGTTGATCAATTTCTCCATATTACATTCACAATATGTCATTAAAAACTTGATTTCTGATATGCATCAATGGAATTGAAGACCCCTGTAGAAAAACCATTGCACTCACTATGCATGTGAGATAAAATAATCACTTGATCATAACATTAGATCAAAGCAAAAGCAAAAACCAATCTCAGTTTTCGTGAGCCATCACGTCCAAGTCTCGTCCATTTTTTGGTCTCTCACCCTACTGTTGCCAGCTGAAGTCTTCATACTCCACAGTCCATGTTTCTGTCCAGCAGTTTGCGGTGGAGGGTGAGCAGCATGGAGAGGCAGGCCACAGACATGTGGAAGGCCAGCTGCCAGATGTTCCTCAGACCAAAGAGAAAAGCATTGCATAAGATGATGATAGTCAGGAGAGTAAAGGATTTCAGCTTCTTCTGGCAGGTATGGAACAAGTACAGATGGCACTGTAAAGGAAAAGAGATAAAGATCTGAGTTTAAACGGTGTACTGTATTTGATGGTGCTATAAATGAAAACATTAAATATTGCAAGTGCATTATTGTTGATGCCACATACAGAGTAGTAATACAATTTACCTGGCAAACACAGCACAGAAATGCCAAAAGAAATGCCACCACATTCCACAAACCATCATAATCATCCTGTAAAAAAAGTGTCATATTATACTTAAGACATTTAATCACCTACTTAATTATAATCAAATTACACCACATTCCACAAATCATCATAATCATCCTGTAAAAATGGTCATATCATAAATTAAAATAAAAAATCATATTAAATAATAAAGAAAAAATGAGTACAATAAATTATCAATTAAAAAAAATTATATTTGCATATTCAGAGAAATATACAAATATCTTTATGGTATGTCTGCCTGACTCTGTACCATACTGAGCATCAGCTGATAAAATATATGTTTAGTATTGGCAAATACTGGATATTTAATTTAACTGGTCTTTAAAAAACAGCAATATGTTAACGACTATTAAATGTAATCTTTAGCTAAATTTTTCATAATGTACATTATAATGTTTTGATGACTTCATTTATTTGCGGTATTTAAAAAGCTTTTTTTTGGGGGGGGGGGGGGGGGGGGGGGTGTTGGTTTTTTATCCATCCAAATACAAAGGCATTTTGTTTTTCCTTTTGCCCTCCTGCCGACCCTCGTTCCACCAGCACAGAGGGAGGGGTGGGGGGGTGTATTTAAGTTTTATTTAATTACACAAAATAGTATAGAATTTAAATTTTGGCCATTAATCATTTATCACCCATAACATCCCTAATCAAGATCATGCTGTCCCAAATTAACATCTTGTGATACCTGGAAGGTGTATTCAATGAGATGGACACCACGTATAAGGTTGAGGGCAGCACACATGATGTTAAGAATCAGTGAGAGGATCCCTGGTGCTGAGACTGGTTCCAATCTCTGACTTTGACCTTCAAAATCAACAAGGATCAAAATATATGTCCAACTTAAGATGCAGCCCTTATGAATTAACTGTATTCTTTACTAGAGCACACCTGATGCTGCTGTTTGTTCTACATGCCCATTGGCTGCTCCATTGGTGAGCGCCACATCCTCCATGGTGAGAAACTGAGGGGGGCTGGTCCTGAGGTCTTCCCAAACCTCGGCCAGGGTGACCTCCAGAGATGGACCCCCTTTCTGGTTATAATGCTGCTGAAGTTTTTGAATGGCACTATCTGAAATAAAACCATCAGACAAACTCATGATCAGCTTATTAGTTCAACGACTTTGCCTGTTCATGGATTAAGTACAGTATAAATGACATGACATACAGTTTTAATAACTCATCTAATGTTTAATCCAATTACTTCTATCTGTCATCCTACCAAACTCCAGAAATGGGTACGGCCTGCTTGCCAGGGCCACTGCAGAGTTGTCAAAGCATGCTGTGAATTCCCAGCGCAAGTCTTCCAAGAAGCAGAAGGCCGAGGCAGCAGGGAGACTGCATGCACATACGGTCATGTAGGACACACCCTCGGATGAGAGGAAGCTGCAACACAGAGAGACCAATTAGTTAACAAATTATTTCACAGGGCAGCCACCAATTTCCTTGGCTTATCTTGGACTCTGGAACGCAAGTAAACAAGACCAGGGACATTCTTATCGTTCTTGTATCATTCTGATATGGCAAGACTTCATTTTATTCTCATGCATCTCATGATTTCAAAAGTTGTCAAAGGTTATATCTGTAAATATTATTTAACTGACCTGGGCTAAAATGAACAGTGGATGGTTGTATTTTTATTATCAAACATTAACCAAAGATTAATAAATACTGTAACAAAAGTATTGATCACTGTTAGTTAATTCTTACTCTTTAAAAAGTAAACAAATTAATACAAAATGTAATAAAATTAATTAAAAACTTGACTTTTTAAAAAGAAAATCATAAATACAATCATAAAAATAAAAGTTCCATAAGGTTTTGCATTTTTCATGCAATACTATAGAACAGCGTTTCCCAACTGGGGTGCTGTGTAAAAAAGAATTTTTTAAAGGGGTCCTATTATGCCTTTTCACTTTTTTAATTTTAGTCCGTGTGCAGTGTGTATGTTTGGGCATAAAAAAGATCTAGAAAGTTACAAATCTCAAAGTCCACTCCAAAGGGAGATATTTCGTTTTTTAAAAATCCATTTTCAAGAACTACAGCAGACGGCTCATTTGGACTACCGCGTTTAGTTTCCGGGCTTTGTGATATCACAAAGTGGCTCATTGGAATATCATTACAAAGAATTCCTGCCTACAGAAATTCGAATGGTTGGGGGGTGGGGAGGGGCGAGGCCGTGGTTAGAACGCTAGGTTGAGTGAGTGCATGAGACGAGACGACGAAGAAGAGCTGTTGCAGAGTTAGTGCAACGCACTGGGAAAGCTAACCAATCACAACACATTTTGTTTTTCGGAAGGCGGACCTTCATCAAAGCCAGAACTAATCGAGCCGTTTGTGCCAGACTGGGGAGAAAGGTATTGTAATAATGTTAATTATGTGAAAAATAATGCGTTTTTCGAACCACCAAGCATGAGAGCATGTTCTAGTACACCCCCAAAACAAAATCAAGACTTTGTAAAAGAGCATAATAGGACCCCTTTAATATTTTTAAATTGCTAAAATGTTCAAAAAAGCATCTATTATATAATATCCATTTCTGATGTCGCCAATAATTAGAGATGCACTGAAATTTCGGCTGCCGAAAATTTGTTCACATGCACATACGGTCATGTAGGACACACCCTCGGATGAGAGGAAGCTGCAACACAGAGAGACCAATTAGTTAACAAATGATTTCACAGGGCAGCCACCAATTTCCTTGGCTTATCTTGGACTCTGGAACGCAAGTAAACAAGACCAGGGACATTCTTATCGTTCTTGTATCATTCTGATATGGCAAGACTTCATTTTATTCTCATGCATCTCATGATTTCAAAAGTTGTCAAAGGTTATATCTGTAAATATTATTTAACTGACCTGGGCTAAAATGAACAGTGGATGGTTGTATTTTTATTATCAAACATTAACCAAAGATTAATAAATACTGTAACAAAAGTATTGATCACTGTTAGTTAATTCTTACTCTTTAAAAAGTAAACAAATTAATACAAAATGTAATAAAATTAATTAAAAACTTGACTTTTTAAAAAGAAAATCATAAATACAATCATAAAAATAAAAGTTCCATAAGGTTTTGCATTTTTCATGCAATACTATAGAACAGCGTTTCCCAACTGGGGTGCTGTGTAAAAAAGAATTTTTTAAAGGGGTCCTATTATGCCTTTTCACTTTTTTAATTTTAGTCCGTGTGCAGTGTGTATGTTTGGGCATAAAAAAGATCTAGAAAGTTACAAATCTCAAAGTCCACTCCAAAGGGAGATATTTCGTTTTTTAAAAATCCATTTTCAAGAACTACAGCAGACGGCTCATTTGGACTACCGCGTTTAGTTTCCGGGCTTTGTGATATCACAAAGTGGCTCATTGGAATATCATTACAAAGAATTCCTGCCTACAGAAATTCGAATGGTTGGGGGGTGGGGAGGGGCGAGGCCGTGGTTAGAACGCTAGGTTGAGTGAGTGCATGAGACGAGACGACGAAGAAGAGCTGTTGCAGAGTTAGTGCAACGCACTGGGAAAGCTAACCAATCACAACACATTTTGTTTTTCGGAAGGCGGACCTTCATCAAAGCCAGAACTAATCGAGCCGTTTGTGCCAGACTGGGGAGAAAGGTATTGTAATAATGTTAATTATGTGAAAAATAATGCGTTTTTCGAACCACCAAGCATGAGAGCATGTTCTAGTACACCCCCAAAACAAAATCAAGACTTTGTAAAAGAGCATAATAGGACCCCTTTAATATTTTTAAATTGCTAAAATGTTCAAAAAAGCATCTATTATATAATATCCATTTCTGATGTCGCCAATAATTAGAGATGCACTGAAATTTCGGCTGCCGAAAATTTGTTCACCGCTCAGGTTTCACTTTCCTGTGGTGTGACGCTCTGCATATTATCCCACTTATGCACTGTATGCGTGTGCGCTCCGCTCAGTCGCTCCACTCGTATAACGTTCATGCTCATCAGAACAGCAAAGTCCACTCAAAAATTGAGCCGACAGGAAACATCGATGTAGTACAGTATTGTTTCTGTCTGCAATAGCCCTACTGTGTTGTAACATGGTGTGGTATATGGGCAACTCTGGTAACGCTGCCCTCTCATTCATTGATCTGCAAACCGCATGTTATGCTCACGTGTTCTGATAATAATAGCTTTCTAGGACTAAAC